TCAGAGACAACGAATTCCCCCTGCGACTGTGGTATATGTAATGAAACGTGAGACATTAGAAAACATATGTCATTCATTTGTGAATTTATAAATTTAAACATTTAAATTCATTGACCCGTTTTGAGTGAAACCCCGACGACCAGATCAAACCAGTTTGTCTATGAATAGGTCAAGGTCAAAAACATGACGCAGTATACGCAGGCAGAAGGTAGGAGGAACTTATGTATTCTGAGATTGTTTCAACTACAGTAAACTACGGTTATAACGAACTCAAAGGGACTACTAATTTTAGTTCGTTATAACCGTAATTCGTTATAAGCATATATACAGCATAACTACAACATATAGTCGGGACTAAAAAGTTAGTTCGTTATATCCGTTAGTTCGTTATAAGCGTGTTCGTTATAACCGTAGTTTGCTGTATTGAAATGTTCAACATATTAATTCAGTGAAAAGTACGATGTTTCGGTCACACTGATAACTGATTGAATGGGTAGCACTTTGCTTTGGGAGAATAAGATGAATCAATATCTTATGATGGTGGTTTGGTAAAGGCGTTTATCAACATGTGTGTTCGTGCGCGGGTGTGTGTGCATGTTTGTTATTTACGTACGTGTGTGGATGTCTGTGTTCTTATCTGCGTGCGTACAGTGTATGTGTGTGTCTTGCCATGTGTGGGCATGCGTGTATGTGTTATGCTCGTGCTTGTATCTATGTGTGTTAAGTTCATGTATGTGTGTATATGTGTTATATTTGTGCGTATGTGTTGATGTGTGTGTTATGTTCGTGCTTTTTGCATGTGTGTATGTGTGTTATGTTAATGCATGTGTGTGTATGTGTGTTGTTATGTTCGTATGTATGTGTTGGTAGTGACAAATACTGAAAAGTAATTGATGAGAGTTTGATGACAAATTAATTGCACTCAACTAACATTACAGTTATGGTCATGGTAACGTTAAACGTCACTGTTGGCTACAGAAAAGCGCCACATTTCAATCTCTGTGGGCCCTAAAACTTGAAATGCAACTTTGTAACTGACTTTTATAGAGTTTTCTGCCCAAAATGTATGGTCACATATACTGTTGTAAGGGCAACTTGACACTTTGTTACCTACAATATACATGTCATTATGTCAAAATACGTACCGACAATGTTGTTGTGGTTAGAACTGTATCAGGACCGCCTGGGAACAATTCTATTCATTGATCGATTTGAACCGACAGTGTATATGGAGAAGATTTATATCTTCGTGACTAAGGAATTGTTTTTATGTAGTGCTTAATGTATACGAGTGTACTATCAGCTAGACTGGTGTCTGCATGACATGCACAGTAGGTAGCTCCCAATCAGGAAGTTTCTGAATGAGCTTAACGTTTCCACCAGAAACTTCAAAGCAGGTGACGGCTGACCTCATCTATCCTGATTTAACTTTTGTATCTGATCTGATCAATCCAGCTATTACTTTCACGAGCCTTTAGAATTGTTTTGAGAGAGAGAGAGAGAGAGAGAGAGAGAGAGAGAGAGAGAGAGAGAGAGAGAGAGAGAGAGTCATGCCATTTGATTGTGACGTCACGTAAGGACATGACGCCACACTTTTCTGCAAAGCAATGTGATGCATTTCACTGTAGCAACATATCATGTAGAAGCCAATTTGGGATAATAAATAGAATTCCACCCTCGTGTTTGTATTCGTGGCAAGCATCGGAGATTTAAACGCTTATTGACTCGTGTTGATATATTTGATATCAAACGACATTCGGGAGATTTTTTATACTCGGTGCATTTTCGATTTTCATCTACTGTGGTAATTTCAAATTTGAAGGACACACACAGGGTTTAACTCTCATGTCCAAATTGTCAGCTCAATAGATAATAACACAAGATCAATGACTAATTAACAAATTATAATCAAACACACAGCAAATACTCTAGTTTAACATTACTGTTTCTTTGTATATATTTTCCAGTACCTAACATAATGTCATTAGATCGGATGATTGATTTCGGTTCTTTATCAGTGAAAGCTGATTACATAGTTATATCCAGAGTGGGGTGTGGTATATGCCTGTCTGAATAGTGTTGCTATAACGCGGCATCTTTCTCAATTTGTCATCAGCAATACACACATTACGTTGATGATCGACGCCGATTCAGTTAAGGGACCAGTTGTACAGGCAGTTGGTGTAGGAGTACACTCTTGGCTTCCATGAGCGAAGGAAGGAACGTTAACATTGTACATCAGGATCGTTTTGGGGGTGGGTTCATTATGGTACTTCGCCTTATCACAATACAGTTGTAACTGACCGTACTGCGCTACATATTGTCCGTGTTGCAAAACGTGTTGGGTAACGTTTTATCTTTTAAGATGATAATGCACGTGCCCATCGTGCCAGGGTTGTTACCCAATTCCTCCAACATCAAACCGTCCATGTGATGTGATGGCCAGGACTCAGTCCTGACCTTTAACCCATTGAACACGTCTGGGACGTTATTGGCAGCCGTGCAGTCGAGTTCACCCACCTCATCACATCCACCACTATCGTAATGATTTCAAGCACGTGATCACGAGGCTCCCTGTTTTAAGGAATTCACTTGTTTGAAATTTATTTGCAATGTTGAAACAGTTTATATCTTGAAAGTATTCTTTTTTTCCTCCTGACAGTCAATATGTTTAAAGTGGTGGTGGCGTGGCCAATGCCCACAGAAAGGTTTGCGAACAATGGCTGCCTATCAGATAAGCATATAAAACCCACTTTGACCAATTTAACACGAAATCCAAAAAGGTTACCTGTACAGAAGACTTCACCACTGAGGTGACCGATGGGTCATCAGGGCTCAGACAATGTCGCTTCTTGCAGGAATCAGCCTGAATACAACCCTGCCTAGCTGCATATGCTCTGCTATGTCGGCCCAGACGTCTATGTAGGCGGAGCCAGTGCTGTCCTTCACCTTGACTTGGCCACACAACAACACCTTATGGAACTCCCGTTTTGTGAGGAGATTGCTTGAACAGATATATACAGACCACTGTTACCCTAACAAAACGGAAGTTCAATAATTAAGAAGGTGTTCTTGTATCGCTAAGTTAAGCTGACGAGGGTGTTGGAGGTTAGGCAGTGTAAACGTATTTGACATGGGTTGTCTGATCAGTGTACATTATTACTTGTGACTGTTGTGTGCATATATCTAACCTCTCAAAATTTTTCACATTTTGCAAGCCACACAGAACAGAACTGTACTTCACTCAGTGAAACAACTAGTGTATAAGGAAATTACTCCGGCTATCAGCAACGTGAACTCTGATTAGCCATCTTTAAACACGGGATCATCATCTGTTGAATATTACATTGCACGGTTATCCTCACAAACTATAGAGAATAGGATTCATCAGCAATTCTGATATGAACCTCATCCCAGAAGTGTTCGATGGGGTTCAGATCAGGGCTGAGGGCTGGCCACGATAGAACACGGATGTTGCGTCGCTGCAGAAAAGGCATGGTAGCTCTGGCAACATGGGGACGAGCGTTGTCCTGCTGGAAAATGTGTTGTTGATGTTGTGCGAAAAATGGAACAACGTGGGGTCTGATCACTTGGTCGATATAGCACTGAGCAGTAACGCCGTGTCCCCGACCTTGACCAACATTCAGAAAGCACATTGGTCCACGTCTTGCATTAAGTCCAATCCCTACCCATATCATGACGCTAGGTCCACGCCATGGATCCCTTTCCACAACGTTTCTGTCAGCGAAACGATCACCTCGACGCTGCCAAATTCTGACTCTTCCGTCTACATGGGAGACACAAAAGCGACTTTCATCAGAGAAGATGACACGCCTCCACTCATGATGACGCCAATTGTGATGACCCTGTGCCCGATGAAGTCATGCTTGTTGATGCTGTGGTTGGAGAACAGGACGACGTGCTGGTCGGCGACATCTGAGGTTGTTGGAACGAGGACGTCGGATCACAATTTCCCTGGCTAATGTGTCGATTATGTGTTCCTATGGTCTGTCGAGCACTTTCTTTTGCAGTTAGGGACGGATGTCGCTGGTGTTGATGGGTAATCGACGTGTGGTGACCCTAGGACGACCGCTCCGAGGAAGGTCATCTTTGTTCTGTGAAGCATTGTATCGATGCAGGAGACGGTAAATTGTGGTTATGAGTTAGGCGTTCATTGTTGACCAAGGAGTGGTAGGTCCAAAATCGGCCACAGTTTTATACCCACTACAGTTCGTGACAGTTCGTGCATTTTCGATTTCCCGAGAAATGGGGTGCTTGATACCCACATATTCATTGAAATGGTGCGTTTTGGCGATTCGTTTTTTATGTTGCGTTTTTTCTCGGGGCTTCCAAAATGCAGCCAAAAATATTGATAACACCATGACTAGCGTGGGTTTTTATATGTTCCTTGAAAATACTGGAGACAACAAGTTCAACCTATGAGTGAGTGAGTGAGTCGGGATTAACGCCGCTTTTAACAGTATTCCAGTTATATCACGGAGTGTCAGCTTAATGTGGGAGTAAAGCCCGAAGTAATTCAGGTATCAGACGTTTACCATTTGGTGAAAGCCATGAGCACGGGTATGGTGCTGACAAACCTAGAAACATAAAAGTTCAACCTATCCTGTGGTAATCATAATCATTAGAATTTGACATTTTAAACATTTAATTCATTTATACGTTTTGAGTTGGGAAAACCCGATGACCAGATCAAGGCAGTTTGTCTATAAATAGAACCAGGTCATGTGCACTGCGCAGTATACACAGACACAAGCTTTCTAGGTTAACATTTTGTTTTAGTTTGGGATTTGACACGTAACAATATATAAACTTTACACGTTTACTCAGTGTTCGCATGAAGGGGGAAGAAGTAACCCGGACAAATTCGTTACAAATAATAGAAGTCATAATCCATGAAAGGTGTCATGTATTCATGTTCTTCCAACTTAGACAAAAATAGACTTGGCGTATGACAATACCAATGTACATTATTTTTCAGAAATGGCCTTGGAAGATATCCATAAGACAGTTCTCCGGGAAGATGTTTGCTTTCTTAAAGAGGAATTGGATATGTCAAACTCAGATCTCTTAGATAAACTTTATCAAGAATATGCCATCAGCAAGGAAGAACAGGAAATAATTGAAAAGCAAGACACTCGTCGTCATCAAAATGGGAAGTTGATATCTTACATGGAAAGAAAACCGTTAAAAGATTTTCACATTTTCATGTCAGCAGTTCCAGAACATGTAAAGGAGCGTTTAGAAAAACGGCTTCAAAAAGGTAAATAAGCATGGAAATATTTTTTTTGCCATAAAGTTATGAAACAATACAGGACTACTTGGCAATCTGCTGTGCATGCCCGATCTGTCACATTTTTCATTTCAGAAAAACAGCGGTTGCTTGATCATACAGATATGGAAACTTCGAAAGAAAATGAAGCAGGGGATGAAGATGAAGCAGGGGATGAAGATGAAGCAGGGGATGAAGATGAATCAATGGATGAAAAAGAATCAAGGGAGGAAAATGAAGTAAGGGATGAAGATGAGTCAAGGGATGAAGATGAAGCAAGGGATGAATATGAATCAATTGGTGAAGATGAATCAATGGATGAAGATGAATCAAGGGAGGAAAATGAAGCAAGGGATGAATATGAATCAATTGGTGAAGATGAAGCAAGGGATGAAGATGAATCAAGGGATGAAGATGAAGCAAGGGATGAAGGTTCTGATGGTGACTGCACCAGCGAGACTGAGGAGGAAGAGGAAGCTTGTTGCAGTAGAAAGGCTGGTTTTCGTTTGAAAATAGACGTGTCATTGTTTTAAACTGTATTAACGTCAGCCCGTTTTTACCAGTCAACTTTGTAAAGACATTTTGTTTCCTGCTGTATATCCAATCAACAGAATGTAGACATGCTGCTAGTTATGCATTAGTGTTCATTCATTATCTATCAATCATGTCAGCTGTATGAGTGAGTGAATGTTATTCAACACCACAGTCATTAATATGAAAGTGTGTGATTTGACAGACTGTGTGTCATCCCAACCCCACAGTGTGGTGAACTGAATATTTAGACCACCACTGGACTGCCCTTTAAAGATTTGATTCTTTACAGGCCGCCTCCTATATCCACTCCCTCGCTACCCATACATAAATGTGAGGTGAGATTAAGTTGGGGTTACCGTCACAATCAAGTTTATTGCACTAATATAGCGTACGTGCGCGTTTGTAGTAATTTGTACTAGTTCTAACTTATGCAGGTGTTATAGTCCTACCCTGCTGAGATATTATACTAAAGTTTAACAAGATACCACACTAACTATACACTACTTACACTATAGTGACTACATGCCGTCCAGTCTGCGGAGATGGGATAAAATATGAATGACTACAATAAGGAAGACTAACGGTGTATTGGGTAAATTACAACATATCATTTTCTTACCTTCCAGCTGGTGCCAATACAAAGTTTTATTTTGGACTCAACGGAAAGACGTGTAGACGTGCATGTAATGGTGATTGGGGAACCGGAAAGGAAGACCTCCACTAAGATGAAAGCTGTTGTTGCTGATGAAACGTCTGCGGTGAACCTTTGGATCTACGATGACAGTCTTTTCCAACATTTTAGTGATCAGGCTTGTATTGTGTTGCGAAATGTAAGATGGAATGGACGTATTTTGGAGGCAAATAATCGTTCATCAGCAAAAGTGGCTTCGGTATTAAAGATCTCAGAGCACACTATTACAGAAGCTTTAGGAACAGGACAACCTATTTCAACAAAGAGAGCAAATGCATTACCTGACCGGAAATTGATGTGTTTGGAAGGGAAAGTTGTAAAGGTTTGTTCATCAAGTAATATGCGACATTGTAAAACTCAGTGTTGTAACCAATGAACAAAGAGAGCTTTGCCTAAGAAGATATATGTTTCAGTGTCACAGCAGACATAAGAAAAATGTGTAAAAATTTGTGGTTTATTTACGTAAAAACAGGGGAAGTAATTTGAACGTATGAGGAGTCACGATCTTACCAACTCACATGCGTTTTTGCCATGTCTTATATTTGTTTCTTTTTCATTTCATATACAGAAATCCTTTCTTCTGATCCGACCGTTTAATAAGAAAATATTGAATTATTGTCAAATTAAGCTGAGAGATGACAAAGGATCCGTCGATGTTGATGTCTGGGGAGACGCTGCGAAAGCCATGGAAAGGGGAATTGTTATCAAAATGACAAGCTGTAGAAAGCGGGAACCCCAGAGACCAGACGGACCACCTATCACCACAACACCAGACACATTGGTTGAGGTAATAAGTGATTATTAGAATTATAAATAATTCTGCAACGTCAGAACTAAAGAGTGCTTTCTGCATTGCTCTCCCTCTTCCTTTTGCACATCAGAGCGTTGTTCATGTGTATCATCAAATCTAAAGACATTCATACACCTTATTCCACTGCTATTTCAAAACTATGCTCATCAGAATCGAACCCAAATTATGTTGGTAAATTCATATTCTATTGCCTCGTTTTATTCATTTGAGGGGCCTCTTAGCTTCAAACAGTCGTTTGACAAGCACCATGCATAGAAATAAATATTCATATATTAAAGTCAATTCTCGTACGTTTTCAGAAACTGCCTTTATCAGAACTAAAACAAAATGATGTCAACAAATTGTACAGAAGAGGAACTATTCAGGCATTTGATGTTGACCTAGATTCAGACATCAAGCTCGATTCAGAACCGAACACGATGACACGAGTTGATATCGATATGCGCACAAAAGGAGGAAGCCTAGACACAGTCATGGTGTTTTGGCCCCAGCTGATCCAACTGTTCAAGTTATACAACATGAAAATTCCATCAATCGATGATAGTGAAAATATCAAGAAGTTGTTGAAGAAACTTCAAGAAAAGGAGATAAAATACAAAGCATGTGGAACTGTGGAAGAATTCAGACGCTGCTAGATACGACAGCAGAAGATAGTTTAGAGGTGCTTACAACCTATTATTTCGAGACTCATTGACATTTTGTTTTAGACATTTTGCTTTAGAGTAATGCACTCGTTCATGTCCTTAATGTATCTTACAACCCCAAAAATATCGTATTTTAACACTGATGTTCATCTTTAAAATTGCCTACGTAAAATCTCAAACTGACAGCGCAAGCTTTTTTTCTCTACACGTGATCAAGGTCTGTTTTGCCTCAGAACGCAGTGGTCCTACCATGACCTACCCCAACATAGAGCGTCGTTCATCACAAGACAAAACGTAGTGCCAACGTTGTGGAAACTTTCCCTGATGAGCACTGGAAAACATTGTTTAGTATAAATATGTTGGTGTGTTTCCATTTGTGGATTGGAAACAAGTTACCACAACTTAGATGATCAACAAATAAGTACAACCACAGCAAAAAAAGTGTAGGTTTCCGTCTTCCGGAAACCTTCCGGATACCTACCCATTTTGGATCCGGCCCAGAAACCTTCAGGAAACCTTCCGGAAACCTTCCAAAACAAATGTCAAAATTTGGGGGGTGCATTTTGTTCACTTAAGTGTGAAACACATAAAAAAATTAACTTGAAAATACCAAGCAATTTGAAGGTTGCTGAAGGCATCTGGAAGGTTTCCGGAAGGTTTCCGGAAGGTATCCGGATGCAAATTTTCTTCATGACTTGCTTCTGGTAAAAAATGTTAGCCTGTGCATTACAGGTAGCTGTTGTAATATTCTGGGTTACTTTAATGGTAAATATGCTCCTAAAACATTTTTGGAGAAGACAATTGTTCAATTTCATATATTGTCCTTTTCAGATGTTAATACTATTTAATGAACAAACATCAGTTCACGTATAATGATATCCTTAAATTTCATGTCCAGACTTCCAGTTTGTACTGAGAGAAAGAAAAAGTCATTGACAATGTGCTCACTTGGGCCTTTAGTCCTAGTGAGATGATAATAAAACTATTTGTAACGGTACATGTACTTGTTATATCCAAAATACTAACTTCATTGAAATTTACCTAACCCCAGTTTTATGGTACTACAGTAAGCTCTTCCTCAGTTACTGTAATTCTTTTATTAAAAGGGATTGAGAGTTAATTTGACACTGGAGTTGTAACCACTGCACATATATGTGTATTCAAATAATATAACAACTATGTGCTTAATACTTCACAAATATCTCCAGAAATAGGCATTTTAGTTATAATTGCAGAAATACTTTATGAATGACCCCTTTACTATTGCCTTGATCTTACACTTCAACCCTTCAAGAGTTATCACTTTTGAGTGTGAATTTGACCTTCAATATCAGTGATAAATATTTCAAAAACATTTCAAAGAGCTATCCAGCACATAAACCAAATATGCAGTCCTTTGGTAGAATTCAACATATCATTGACCAAAATATGGAAGTAATGTAACCAGTATATGTATAAGAATTACTAAGACTTCTGCAGAAAAGGCAATTTAGGGGAAAATGTAGTATATATAGATCACACACGACCTTTTTCCAATTTCACCTCCTGTCCAAAGGAAGAGTTAAGACCACAAACAAACTTTTTGTCTGGTTGTGACTTTGACCTTTGACATAACAGATCAATGTGTCATCAGACGTTTTCAGAGCAAAGGAAACATGTGTTATTTATCTTGAGATGCCCAAGCAATGCATGGTTTCAATTTTTTTATTCATATGCCTATAGTATATCGCACATTGAACAGTGTTCACATGATGGTTCCTGATGCAGTATGCAATTTCATCCTATTCTTCAATACTCATAACAGAGTGTGATAACTGTTCGCTTGACAGTACCTACGGATTATGTTCACCAGTTCAGAGAACTTACTTTCCCTCAATCCTCCTTTTCTTTCTATATTGCCATGGATGAACAGGAACCAGGATGAGGGGATACTAGTTAGACTCTATCTCTGCTGCATTGTGTTAGTAGAATTGTGAACTTTCCATTTGGTGTTTGGGTCCACATTTAAAGACAATAAGTCCCATTTATCATTCCTTTCAAGTGTTTACTATGGCTCAAGCCAAGAATTTCCTGAATGTCCTGGAAGAATTCCACTCCAGCTTGGCATTGGTTTGTCTTCTCACATTAGCCAGACCAGCCTTTGTGTGTCCCAGTACCATTTGGCATACAACTTCTCGGTCGGCCTCCATTGAAATAACAGGACCCTCCTCATCGCTGTCTGCAAATCACCTCTGATATCTGAAGGAGTGCAGCCTCTGTTTAGGACTCCCTTGTCTCGTCCTTCCAGACTGTCAACCTGGAGTACTCATCCAGGGATCTCAAGCAGGACTTCAGTTTCTGCAGCATTATGTAAAAAGATGTTAGCAATCAAAAAGAATTGTTGCCGCATGTACTTACAGATAGAAGGCAGCAAAATCACTTAAGTTGTCATATGTGAGTCTTGTTATATGCTAAACAGTTAAGATAATCACATCTCAAATCTCAAACAGACAAACCCGTGACTAATGTTATGAACTCGGTCCAGACAAACCGATGATAACTATTATGGACAATATCCCACATCACTGTTGTATGATTACATGCGATCAATGGGCCTACTCAATCACTACCTTATCTATTAATTAGGCTTGGAATGCTGGCAATCTTTTTAAGAGATGTCATTTAGTGATTGTTTCAACTCATCAACATGGAAAAATATATATTTACAATCCTTGTCATATAGCCAAACTATTGCTGGATGCAGTGTTAAATAAATGAGTTGGCTTTAACACTGCTTTGAACAGTATTCCAGATATATCACCGCATGTTAGCTTGATGTGGGAAGAAAGCCCTAAGTGATGCAGGTCTTTGATGAATCCCACGAGCATGTGTATAATGCTGACAAACCTAGCAACATAATCGGGGAGAACCAGGATTTGAACCCATGACTATAGGTTTCTGCTAAGCCCAAGAGATGCAACTCTGCACAGAAAATTGTAGTGCCTTAGATAATAGGACATCCGTGCCCACAGCGATAAGGAACAAACTGAAGACATATTTGCAAAATAACCATATGAACCAAACAGAATAATTTCAAAATATTTACCACTCACTGTTGCTCTTCTATGGTCTTTCTTTGCATTGATGCTGCACAGATGACTGTCTCTTTAATTCATCCGGACATTCCACAAACATAAGTAGCATTCACATCACAGAAAAATGTCCAAACTGTACATGTTGTACATTTGATTCAAATGAAAAGACCCCGGTTGTGATTCCGACTTAGAACTACCCTAATCATAATAATTCATGTCAAACATTCAGAGATGACATTTATCCCCATATTTAACAAATGTCAAAACAATATTTTGACAACAAAGTCAGGGTCATTCAACACATACATTACATAGGAAATAACTTGTTCGAGGTGAATATCATTCCATGAATTATTGCCAAATTTTCTTGAAATGCAGATTAATGCAATGCAGTATTCACTTTTATTTCTAGGCTATTTGTTTGGCTTTTCCATGGCACTGTTTTGACAGAGATCTAACCTTGATATGACACTTTGTTCAGAAATGATATAAATAAGAGAATACTTTATTATTCCCGAGAGAATTTGGGTTACATTGTAAAAGCACGGAGAAACAAGCATAAGATTCATGATTTTAGTTAAATACACTCGACACGTGAAGATTCCGGGGTAGAATAGGTCTTCAGCAACCCATGCTTGCCGTAAAAGGCCATTATGCTTGTCATAAAAGGCGACTAACGGGATCGGGTGGTCAGGCTCGCTGACTTGGTTGATGCATGTCATTGATCTCAATTCCGTGGCTCGATGCTCATGATATCAATCACCGGGTTGTCTGGTCCAGACTCGATTATTTACAGACCGCCGTCATATAGCTGGAATATTGCTGAGTGCGGCGTTAAACAACAAACCAACCTAAATACACTCATACATACACACACAAACACAACATCCAAACACGAGGGTTAGAAATTGGCACGAGTCATTTTGACATTTTAAAGGTTTTGCTATATGCTATCATTTTAGGACTAGTGGACTGAAAGTGTTAGTTCCTACCGCTGCATCCCGACATGGGTACAATGTGTGAAGCCCATTTCTGGTGTCCCCCGCTGTGATATTGCTGGAATATTGCTAAAAGCGGCGTAAAACCATACTTACTCACTCACTCCTACCGCTGCAAACACTAATCAACTAATGAATTGGGTGGTCAGACTAGGTTGTCATCATACTCTTAGGGCATGGATCTTTGCTAATAATAACAATCACTAGATTGCCTGGTCCATGTTCAATTATTTACAGGCTGCCATCACAGAGCTGGACTATTGTGAGTGTGATGTTTCACATTGCATTGAAATATACCATGATGAAAACATGTAGTTTGTATTTATCACAAACAAAAATACTCACTCAATACTTGGTATCCTCCCTGAGGATGTCTGTGAACCTCCCCACAAACCCTGAACATGCTGAAACAGAAAACAACTAACTTGTCTTTATCCTTTCAATGTTTCAGTGTGAATTTGTTAAAGATTGGTAAGCTGTCATTATTCATGGTGATCCATATCTCACTTTCAGGCGGTTCAGGTGGCAACACATGATTGGAATTGAATGCCACATTTTGTTTGACATGCTCTTTGCCAGATTTATACCCTTGGTAACTAACCCTCATCATCAAATCCCAGCGTTATGAGAATAAGGACACGACCCTTAAAGGTCCTGCACCTGTAGCTCTTATGCAAGCCCAAATAGAAATACCATGTCACAACAAACACTTGATCATAATAATAACAAAGGGTTTCCGAAAACAACAAAACTAAAAGGCCCTTGACGTTTACAGTATTAAAATGGAGATCAGGAAAATATCTAAATCAATCCATTCCATAAGATCTCTGTATAGAAATCATGGAACATTATGTCTCGAAGCCCTGCTACGTACCTGGCATCTGCAAGCTGCTCTTCCTTCCTTCGGCTGCCAATCGAGTTTTCGAAATACTTGACGTCCTCGTTGTGGATGGCTCAGGTGGATTTCGACCGGGATTTCCGTGTTAGAGGTGATTGAGAACAATGTATTGATACACGAGGTGGCAACAATGCAGTTTACCGGGCGCAGCCCGAGCTCTACCATCCGCTCAATTACCGCGCTATAGTGCCACCGCTGTCTCGTTATACTGTTACCGTGCCTCACGCTCTGGTGACTCTCGCTTCACGATCAAACACCCGTTTTCGGTCTTAGGGAAACTTACACATCTTTACAATCAAACACCTGTTCTCGGTCTTAGGGAAACTAACACATCTTTACGATCAAACACCCGTTCTAGGTCTTAGGGAAACTTACACAACTTTACGATCCAACACCCGTTTTTCGGTCTTAGGGAAACTTACACGTCTTTACGATCCAAAACCCCTTTTCGGTCATTAGGGTCAGCTGGCTTTGGGTAAGGGTTAGCCATAAATTCTTACCTTTTCAAGCGTTAATCCAGTTAATCCCATTGG